CATAGTCACACATCACACTGTGAACACACATACCTTCTATTGTGATGCAACGTGATTTACCAATACATTCCTCGATCCTTGAGTGTCTATTCAGAAACACTCAACACTTCCACCCAGCTTGTATGATTCTTGTATGTGTCCCGCGGTAGCTTCATACCCTGAAGCTTCAGCCCGGAAAATTCAAACTCAAGACAACAACAGAGGCAAAAAGATGGCTACCATCATTTACAGTATGAGTAAAAATATTGCAAGACGACAACTAATCTGTCGGAATCGCTCAAAATTAGTGATAGCATAGCTGGGTTATTTTGATAGTAGAATAAAAGTGACTTCGAGATCCAATGGTAGCATTGGTGGTCACCAGGCCCCAATTGGGTCACTACATCATTTTTCTTTCCCTCTTTATTGAATATACAAAGATAAAAATAAATAAATAAATAAAAGATAAAAATTTTCAGGAAGGCGGAAGCGGTCGATCACAAGACTACCATTTAACCCGCAATGGGGAAAGTCAGGCAGGGGTGATGGAATTCGAACACATCCCCAGGGTGATAATTTGGTGAGGTTACCACCGGTCCACCACCGGTCATCAGGTCATGTTTTCGAGTAGCACCACTTTGGTCGCCATCCCCCTACCCCCATTCCTCTGACTGTATGGTAGGCCTTGGACTGGTCGCTTATCTCATCCTTAACAAAATCGTAGTGTCATCAAGTGTTCAATAAAGGGTAGCAAAAGGAGAAAACTAATCCCATCAATCAAGTTCATCAATCTGATTCAATACCGACTGTTGGGACGAAGAACAATGGCATTCGTCCCACGATAAGCCCGGCTGCACACTTGTTAATTCTGTGCACAAAATCAAACAATTTTACAACAAATTCGACCCAAATTAGGGTCATCGTGGATCAATACTAATCTCGTGGAGAGAAATCAATAATATTGCGTCGTACGGCAATGCTCATTCTCTCTCTGTCCGTCTGGTCCATAGCCTATGGCCGGTTGAACATTGCTCACTGTGTATTTCATTGGTACATTCGTTTTCTTCCATTGATCACTGTTATTTTCAGTCACATATAAGCATCAGAGTAAAACTTGTAAACTGACTCGTAACTTGTGAGTTGTGCTCAACGCCATTAAAATCCCGTGCTGCTGAAGGCGTGTCCTCTCTCGCGAGTTTTTGGGAGGCCTGAGAGATCGATAGCCGACCGTGCGTCCTATGTAGCTTCCGCTCGTAAAACTATCATCCGCTCACGGACTTAGTGTTCTCGTTTCTCGTGTGCTACTATTATTACTGTGACATATCATGTGTTCTTTGCACTTGTGGTGTTCTCTTGTGATATAGTGCTGTGCGACCTAATAGTAGGCAACGGATTTAAGCGGAGTAAAACAGAATAAATTGGCGACGTGACACCAACCGATTCCGAAACAGTTTAAACCTCATCCCGGAAAAAATAAAATCTAATCAGCTTAAATGTTGACATTTTTTTATTACACGATAGTGTGTGATGCACTGCAGTCGGGGCGGACCCGATATTCACGAAGACCTACTGTTCAGTGATGGTAACCGGTAACCTAAGCCCCAGGGCTTGGAGTGGCGAACCACATAAGGCCCCGCGCTGGGTCAGGGGTCTCATAGAACCGGGTGACAGCAAAGCTACCTACCACCAAAGTTGGGCGGCGATTGTAGCGGGGCTCGAACGTGGGGTCACAAGGTCCAAAGCACGCCGGTGACAGCGACCAAACCACTGCGCTACCACCACCTGAATATCCGGCTTCCACAACATATGTTGACCAGTGAAGCCCTTGTCATACGCCTTCACAAATTCTTGGTTCATGACAAGGTGGTCGAATAGGTTACATCAATGTGGCAATCCTGATAACCCATTCCAAATTAGTCTACTTGTGAGAAACAGTAGACACATTGTGCCAGAAAGAATATCGTCACGTTTGGGGTGAGCTCGCATCGGTGACATGCTTGTTTACTGCTTGACAGTTTGACATAGCATGATGTAAGAACAGACTATAGTTGACAGGTTTTCTTCAGTGAAACTGAAATAACGGAACAACAAGTGAACTGAAATTTTTGTACCTTGCACGCCACGGAACATGTTCACTCGTTTTCAAATGACAGATCACAAGGTGGAGCGAAAACCGAAATACTTGCGAGAGATACTGTCTCAATACAAACCATTGGGTCCTGTTCCATCAGCTAGTGATAAGGCTAACATGTGTCTTACTCTGCTATCTCCTATCAGGACAGCCACATCATTCACCGTCGTACCCCCACCCACCCCCACACACACGGGCACACACCCCTTCCTCCTCGTTACAAAGAAGATGGAAGAAGAGAGCGAGCGAGCATCAGTTGTGTGACATAAAAACTGTTTTGTTCATGATCCATCACTAGTTGTAGTCAAAGTTCCATTAGACTCTTTCCCACTCACATCGGGACTAGAATCCAGATCCGTGGGTCTTGTTTGATGGATCTGCCAGACCACATGTATCTTTTCATGAACTGCATACTACCAAAAGTAACCTCCAGAGAGGGAAGCGTGAAACAATCAGTATACAACGGTGGAAAAAAGTTCGTCAGTATAAAGACTAACGGGTTGAAACAGACCAGTAAACGATGAGGCACTCTGTTGAAATGTTTAAAACGTTTTTTTCTGTTGCTATTGATGGCATCACTTGTTGTTGTTGTTATTGGTGGTGGTAAATTGTGGGCGTTGATGTCAGCAGTGCAACCCATTCGACAATCAACGCAGTTAAATTCCGTAAAAAGAAAATGTTCCCGGGTTGAAGAAATAGTGTACACCCACCATCTCTGTACTCCTAGATCTGAAAGCGGCTTTCGACTCAGTCGACCGCTCTAAACTTTGGCACTGCCTTTTTCTGAAAGGTGTGCCCCAGAAGTTAATTTCAATATTACGATCGCTTTATACTAATAGCCGAAGTCGAGTCCGGGCTTACGGTACTTTTTCTCCCGAGTTCACCACGGAAAGTGGTGTTCGTCAGGGTTGCCCTCTTTCTCCATTTCCATCAAACTTTGTTGTAGATCTGATTATGGAAACAGCCCTATCCTCGTGCGAGGATAATGGCATCGATNTACTCCCAGGTGGGAGGCTGTCTGATCTGGAGTACGCAGACGACATTGTGCTACTAAATGAAGATCCAGGTAAGTTGTAAGCACTTCTGGATAACTTGAATGCCAGTGTAGCCATATTCGGTATGCGTTTTGCACCTTCAAAGTGTAAAATGTTACTACAAGATTGGGTTGGTTCAGCACCCAGCCTTACTCTAACTGGGGAAGTAATAGAGCAGATGGATAAG